CCGGCTGGGCTGGGGACGGAGCCGGCGGGGAGCGGGGAGCGGGGCGGGAGGAAGGCGGTAGACGCCGCGGGGAGAAGGAGGACCGGGCCGGGCCGCTCTGGAGCGGGTTTAGTCTGCTTGTGTGGGAACCGAGCGGGTCTAAGGAGAGGCGGGTGCCGCGGAATGGGCCCGCGAACCTCCCCCTCTCCGACAGAGCACAAGGGACCAGTCCAGGTGACCCAGGTGGAGGAAGACAAAGTTATGGTGTTGATGGACGGTAAGGGCGCCCCTTTCTGCTGGCCCCCGTCTTGTTTGCTCCTCACACTGAACTACTGTCCAGTTCCTCGGTAAGCAGCCTTCCACGCCCCGCCCTTAAAGCTCCCTTTTTACTCCCTTCTAGGGTCCCTGAAGCTGGTGACTCCAGAGGGAGCCCCAGTCAGGGGGCTGCGAACCCCGGAGATCCCCATGACGGAAGCTGTGGAGGCTGTGGGTACGTGGAGGTTGGGAAGTCCGGGGCCCAGCGTGGAGGCTCAAGTGATACCCAAGGGTAACAGGCACTCTTTCCTCCCAGCGATGGTCGGAGGGCGGCTCCAGGCCTTCTGGAAGCACGGAGTGCAGGTGTGGGCTCTGGGCTCTGACCAGGTAAGCTCTCCATCGCAAGCCCTACAGCCTTACCTCCTCTCTCGCTCACCTCACTCACGAGATGGACCAGGGGATCCGAGTCAGGTGTGCAGTCCTGAGGAGAAGCGCCCTCCATCTCAGCTCAGACTGGTTCCCGGCTCTACCCCAGGGTCTCTGTGTCCAGAGCTCATCCCAGGCCACGTGTGACCTTGTGCAAAGGACTTTGCTTCTCTCTTAGCCTCAGCGTCCCAACTATAAAATAGGGGTCACTATGGAGATATATGGGTGGTTAGGAGTATGGACCAGACTGCCTGGGTTGGAATCGAGCTGAGCCACCTTAGGCAAATGACTTAACCTTCCTGTGCCTTTCCTCATCTGGAAGATGGGGCAAAAATGGTGCTTAGCTCATAGACCACTATGTGTCAGAACCTGCCCATACATGTTTGTGTTTTATTTAATCTTCGTGATCACTTATCAGGTAGGTACTGTGATTTCACAGGTTAGTAATCTAAGGCACAGAGAGGTTAAGTAACTTGCTTGAGGTCACACAACTGGTGAGTGATATTAGCAAGAATGATTATTTGTGGATCTGAGGCTGGGAGTTCAGAGAACTCCCTCCTGTTTTCTTTAAGGGAGAGGGAGGAGTATTCTAGATACTGACACACATCTTCTCCCCCAGCTGCTTCAGGAGCTGAGAGACCCCACCCTCACCTTCCGTCTGCTTGGCTCCCCCAGGTATGGACTTGGGGAAGGGGTTAGGGGACCCGGGAGGGGAGCTTCTGATGTGGAGAGGGCATCCTGAGGTGTTCCTAGCCACCTGAATCTTTGGCCTAGACATTCTCTCCCCTGGTCCCTGTTTCCATCTCTTTCCCCCAATAGTCCATTAATTTTTTCCTGACTATGAGGGTGTAACTTGCAGAAGTGGTGCCTATTTACCCATAAATTCTTTAGTGTGTGTTTACTAAATCAAGCAAGGACCTGCTCTGACAAACCACAATGCAGCCTTCAAAATCAAGAAAATATGGAGACATCACTACCTTCTAATCCACACACCCATTAAAGTCTCACTAGTTGTACCAGTGATATTCCTAATAACCAAAAAATAATACTATTGGGGGGGGGTGTCCCGAATACAATCCAGGGTGATGAGTTGCATTATTTAGGAGTCTTCTTTCTTTTCTTTTCTTTTCTTTTCTTTTTTTTTTTTTTAATCCTCACCTGAGGATATTTTCCCCATAGATTTTTAAAAATATATATATTTTTATTGATTTCAGAGAGGGAGAGAAAGATAGAAACATCAGTGAGGAGAGAGAATCATGGATTGGCTGCCTCCTGCACGCCCCCTACTGCTGGGGACCGCCGCAACCCAGGCTGTGCCCTTGATCAGAATTGAACCCAGGACCCTTCAGTCCGCAGGCTGACGCTCTATACACTGAGCAACACCAGCTAGGGCCCCAGAGATTTTTTATAGAGTGGAAGGGACAGAGGGAGGGAGAGAGAGAAACAAACATCGATGTCAGAGAGACACATAGATTGGTTGCCTCCAGCACATGTCCAAGGGGGTCTGGGATTGAACCTGAAACCCAGGTATGTGCCCTTCAAGGATCCAGAGTCAAATCTGTGAGCCTCCGGGACTCAGGCTGACGCTCTAACCACTGAGAACACTGGACAGGGCAGGAATCATGTTTCTTTAGTCTTTAGCCTGGAACAGTTAGTTCTTCAGACTTCCTTTGTTTTTCATGATCTTGATGCTTTTGAAAAGAGTGCAGGAAAATTGTTTTACAGAATGTCCCTCAATATCACTGAACTGATGGTGTGCCTGTCTCACGGCATCATATCAGGATGCACATGTCAGTTTGTCTTATGACTGATGATGTTATCTTTGATCATTTGGTTAAGGTGTGCAGTCAGCCACATTTTTCCACTATCAAGTTACTCTTTTTTAAAAAATATATATATTTTATTGATTTTTCACAGAGGAAAGGAGAGGGATAGAGAGTTAGAAACATCAATCAGCTGCCTCCTGCACGCCCCCTACTGGGGATGTGCCCGCAACCAAGGTACATGCCCTTGACCGGAATCGGCCCTGGGACCCTCCAGTCCGCAGGCCGATGCTCTATCCACTGAGCCAAACCGGTCAGGGCAAGTTACTCTTTTTTTCCCTTTCTGTTAATAAGTACAGAAGTCCCCCCCACCCCATTACCTGTGGGGATATGTTCCAAGACCCTCAGTCCTGAAACTGTGGATATGTACTGAGCCCTATATGTATTATGTTTTTTCCTATACACACATTCCTATAACAAAGTTTAATTTATAAATTAGGCACAGTAAGAGATAACAATAATTAATAAACTAGAACAATTACCATAATATAGAATAATAAAAATAATGTGAATGTGGTCTCTCTCAAAATATCTTGTACTGTACTCAGCCTTTTTCTCATGATGATATGAGATGATACAATGCCTATGTGATGAGAAGAAGTGAGGTGAATGATGTAAGCATTGTGATGTAGCATTAAGCTACTGTAAGGGTTCTTTGATCTTAAGCACTGAGATACCAAAACAGTCGATCTGATAACTGAGATGGCTAAGTGACTGATGGCAGGCTAGCAAATACAACTTGGGTAAGCTAGACAGAGAGAGATGACCCACTTTGGGTAGGACAGAGTGGTACAGCACCAGATTAAATCATGCTACTTAGAACAACATGCAATTTAAAACATATGAATTGTTTATTTCTGGAATTTTCCATTTAATTTTTTTGGACTGCTGTTGACCTCGGGTAACAGACCTTGGAAAGCAAAACTGTGGATGGGAGGAGGAGAGACTACTTTATCTTTTTGGGTGATGTGTTGAGACTGTAAATATACTCTTATTAAGACTTTCATCGACTAGTTTTAGCAGCTATTGATTTTTTTAAAGTTTTATTTATTGATTTTAGAGGAAGAGAGAGACAGCGATTTGTTGTTCCACTTGTGCATTCATTGGTTGCCTCTTTTTTTAAAAAAAAATATTTTTTAAATTTATTTCAGAGAGGAAGGGAGAAGGAGCGAAAGAAACATTAATGATGGGAGAGAATCATTGATTGGCTGCCTCCTGCATGTCCCCCACTGAGGATTGAGCCTGCAACCCAGGCATGTGCCCTGACCAGGAATTGAACCATGACCTTTTGGTTCATAGGTCGATGCTCAACCACTGAGCCACCACAGCTGGGCCATTGATTGCTTCTTATATGTGCCCTGACCAGAGATTGAACCCTCAACCTTGGCATACCAGGATGACACTCTAACCAACTGAGCTACCCGGGCAGGACTATAGATGATTTTTGCCTGAATATGTTATTAGGATGGTTACTAAATGGTGATTTTTCTATTTCTATCATTCCGTCTACATTTATTTTTTTTAAAGATTTTTTAATTGATTTTTTTTGAGAGAGAGAGAGAGAGGGAGAGAGAGAGAAACATCAATGTGAGAGCAATACATGGATTGGTTGTCTCCTATAAGCACACTCCTGGGAATTGAGCCAGAAACCCAGGCACATGCCTTGACCAGCAATCCAACTGGCAACCTTTAGGTGCATGGGACAACTAACTGAGCCACACTGGCTAGGAGATTCCTTCTATACTTATTAGTTGGAATTCTACTGTAGGGAAAAGCTGTCCCTTCTCCACTTTTTATGTGTATGTTTGTATGTATTTCAGCATAGTCTCATGGATTTCCATTTTATTCTATGGACTAGAGGCCTGGTGCACAAATTCGTGCACCAGTGGGGTCCCTCGGCCTGGCCTGTAGGATCAGGCTGAAACCAGCTCTCCAACATCCCCTGAGGAGTCTCGGATTGCGAGAGGGCACAGGCCAGGCCGAAGGACCCCACCAGTGCACGATCAGGGCCGGAGAGGGACGTGGGAGGTTGGCCGGCCATGGGAGGTTGGCTGTGGGAATGCACTGACCACCAGGGGGCAGCTCCTATGTTGAGCGTCTGCCCCCTGGTGGTCAGTGTGCATCATAGTGACTGGTTGACTGGTCGTTCGGTCATTCGGTCACTTAGGCTTTTATATATAGAGATTATCATTTATTTTAAGGTACAAATACTCCCAGATTTAGCCAGTGAGAGCCTCTTCAAAGATCTTCTGTGACCTTTTTGACATGCCTGAGGGGTCTTTTAATTTCCAAACATGAATTTGTCACTCCACCTGTCTAAAACCCTCCTGTGGCACCCTAGCCACTTTGGCTCAGTGGATAGAGCGTCGGCCTGTGGACTGAAAGGTCCCAGGTTCAATTCTAGTCAAAGGCACATACTCGGGTTGTGGGCTCGGTCCCCAGTGGTGGGTGTGCAGGAGGCAGATCAGTGATTCTCTCATCATTGATGTTTCTATTTCTCTCTCCCTCTCCCTTCCTCTCTGAAATCAATAAAAATATATTTTAAAAAATAAAATAAAAAATAAAACCCTCCTGTGGCTTCAAGATAAATACCCAGTTCTGGCCACAGCCCACAAGACCATGACTTCTGCAGTCAACCCCCAGGCCCTCTCCACCTCAAGGCCTTTGCACAGGCTCTCTCTCCAGAACACTCTTCCCTGTCTTTTCACCAAGTTCCCTCCTAAGCTTTGGATAGGATCCCCTATCCATTCTTTGGAGGCACCTTGGCTGACCCCTGGGGCTAGGTATCCCTGCTGTGTGCCATGCTTCTTTGCACTCATGTAATTCCCTGATTCATGTTGGTCTCCTGCTCTAAATTAAGCTCCCCGAGTTCAGGGACCATGTCTGCTCATTCACTGCTACCGGCCATCATTATGCAGGCACAGCCTCTATTAATTTCTCTGTGAATGAATGAATGAATGAATGAACAAATGCCGGTTTGGCTCAATGGATAGAGCATCGGCTTGCAGACCAAAGGGTCCCAGGTTCAATTCTGGTCAAGGGCATATATCTCAGTTGCAGGCTACTCCCGAGCCCAGGCCCTCGTCGGGCACGTGCAGAAGGCAGCCAATCGATGTGTTTCTCTCAAATCAGTATTTCTCTCTGTCTTTCCCTCTCTCTTCCACTCTCTCTAAAAAAAAAAAAATCAATGGAAAAATATCCTCGGGTGAGAATTAAAATAACAACAACACAAAAAAACAAAACAAATGCCTGAACTGACTTCTCTCTTCCCCAGGCCTGTGGTGGTGGAGACACGCCCAGCAGATGATCCTACTGCTCCCAGCAACCTCTACATTCAGGAATGAGTCCCTGGGGGTGTTAGGAACCATTCCCTGCACCCTCCTTCCCAACAGACACTCATTAGTGGTCATGACATGCTCCTTTACCCCAATAAACATGACTTCAGCCTCTGCTGTCATCTTGTTTTTCTGGGATTGTGGGAGGACAGAATTTCTGGATGCCCCCTTCCCAATGTCAACAATCCAGCACAAGAATGTCAGGGGTGTAGCAGAGATTTTATTTCTCCAGTACATGGTTACCCTCCCCCCAGGGGCCTTGTGGGGAGGAGCCTGTGGGCTAAGGGGCTTGCTGTGAGAGTAAGGCACTTGAGGCGGGGGTGAAGGGCCAGCTGGGGGTGACTCAGTTAAGCTGGTCCTCATACTGCTTGCGGAAACAATCGCCAGCTGGGAAGAAATCCCAGCATCTCTCTTGGTACATCTTCCACACGTAGGATTCCTAGGGTTGGGGGATAGGGAAGAGTAGGTTGATCACATCTTCAAACACTTGATATATTGATAAGAGCTTTTTACTGATACCTGCTGATTGATTTTATATTAAAACTCTCCATGTCCTGCCATTAACACCCCCTTACCTGACCTGTGTGTTCTGTCTCATCCTTGTTTATCAGGTACATCAGGAAAAACCTGGGGACGGGAGTGCAGCAGTAGACAGGTCAGGCGCATCCTTACCTTCTCCTGATTAGCTGGCTGGGAATCCACTCACATGGACACCATACCCACTTCCCTAACTGGTCAAGGCCAGTATCCCACCCCTGACAGTCAGTGACCACGCCCCATCCTTCTCATTGGCCAGTGGGCCCACACTCACATGTAATTGGCCAGGTTGTGCTCCTCTAGCGTGTGAGTCTCAAACCCATGGGGTGTGGTATCAAAGTAATCACTGCCAATGCCACAGATGAAGCACTTGGTCTGTGGGTGGTGAAAGACAGAGTCGAGGCCCAATCAACTCTCCAGGGTCCTATAATCCCTTTGGGTCGCCCCCAGACAAGACCTACCTCCATATCTTCCTTCACTTGTTCTTGCTGGTCTCGGAGCTCACCAAAAGCATCAATGATCAGACCTGGAAGGCAGGGCGCAAGTCAGTGCCCAACCTCTGACCCAGTTCTGGCTACCCACCTCTGAATCACCCATCTCCCGTCTCCCTAATCTCACCCTGCTTCCTAAAAATACTAACACCTAGTGTTTATTGAGCACTTATGAGCCAGACACTTAACACCTATGAATTGACTTAATTCTCACAACAACATGAGCGTCTTATCATTAATATCTCCATTTTACAAATGGAGAAACCGATGTCCAGAGAGGTGACTTGCCCCTAATCTGACAGTAAGGAGAGGCAGAGCCAGGACACGGACCCAAGCAGATGGACTCTGGGCTGGGCACTCAAAGGAGCTAGTCTGCCTTTAGGCACCGGGCCCCACTCCCACAACCCCTACCAGCACTGACCCTGGATGATGGCCAGCAGGATGACGATGACAAAGAAGAAGAAGGTGATGTCGAAGACCACTCGGTACAGCTCGTATTCATCACCGGCTGGGTCCTCAATCTCATCCCCAATGCCCCCACCAGCTCGGACACCCACATACATGTGAAACAAGTAACACTGCAGGGAGAGGGTGAGAAGCATATTGGTCACACATTTGATCATTCAGCATTCACCGAGTACCTACATGGCCCTGGGCCAGTGGGGCAGGAGTCATGGCAATGACTGAGACAACCCTGGACTCTGCCCTCACAGGGCTCACAAACATGCCACCAGATAGTGACAGCCAAGAAATGGTCTGGGCTATGACGGGGAAGCACAGGAAGAGGAGTCGGGGCTGGGATGAGGGAGACACAGTGTGACCGGAGGAGATGGGGAAGCACAGGAAGCTTTGAAACTTGAAAGCCTGGGTGAGCAGGTGCAGCCGCCTGGAAGAGGGGCGTATGTGAGCTGGGACGTGAAGCAGGTGTTAGGTGGGAGACAGTGTTCCAGGCAGAGAAAACCACATGTGCTACGTCACCACTGGGGGAGAAAATATATTTTGCTCCTGTGAGGAACTGAAAGAGTGACTGTTCAGTGAGGCTAGAAAATAGAGATCCCGTGAGCAAGAGCAGGGAGAGAGATGAGGCTCAATCAATGGTCAGGGAGGGCTTCCTGTAGGAGGCAGCATTTAAGTGGAAAAAATAGGTGTTAAGTGAAGAGGTGTGTGTGCACACAGGGCCAGGGTGGGAGGCAGAGAGAACATCAGAAGCAAAAAGCTTGGGTTGGGAGAAAACACATGGTCTTAGGGGAAGTGAAAGAAGGACCAGGCAGCCAGAGAGCAAAAGGCAAGAAAGACTGGTTAGACTCAGGCAACACTAGCTTTTCCCTGGCTTTGTAAGCCATAGCGAGAGGATTCGGTTTCATCCACCTGGCATTAGAAAGCCACAAGAGGGTTCTGTGCAGAACCGGGAACATCATCTGTCTAGACCTTGGGAGAGACTTCACACTTGTTATTTCTGTGTCCCCAGGAAGTGAGAGAACCTAGTTGTCTTGGGTAAAAGCTAAGGCCAGTGACTATGATGGGAACAAGGCTATGAGTGGCAAGACCGGGTCTGGTGGGGTCTCAAATGTCAGGCTGAGGAGCTGGACTGTGTCCTGACAGCATGGCGCCAGATTATAGGACATCTCAGATAAAAGCCTGAGATGATTCTTTCAACTGTGTCCCATGCCTCTGGTAGATTAAACTCAATTTAGGTTATAACCACCATTATTATAATAGGAGAGAAAACAGAAATGGGTGGCATGCTGGTACTTTGGTGAAACTTCTAATTATAGATAACGATGGCAGTAGCTAACATTTATGTAATCCTTATCACATGCCAGGCACTATTCTCAGATGTTTAAATCTACGATTGTCACAGAGCACCACTGAGTCCTAAAAGCAACCCTAGGCTGTAGATACTGTTACTGTATATTCTCATTTGACAGGTGGGGACCCCAGAGCATGGGGAGGTTGAGTAGCTTGCCCACGATCACATGGCTTGGAACACTTTGCCTGAGTGCTTTTCCAATAAGAAAAGTTATAAAAACTCAAATAATAGTACACCAGAGGTTGACACCTACTGAGTATTGATTGTGTGCCCAGTACTATTCAAAGTACCTCACAAGCATCAGCTCACTGAACCCTCACAGTGAATCTACGAGGCAGGGCCCATTTTATTATTAAACCCCTTTACAGAGGGGAAAACTAAAAGTCAGGGAAGGTTAAGTCACTGGCCCAAGAGCGTTGGAGGGAGGGGCTTACTGTCATCATGTCATCGCACTTCATGTCGGGCTCGTCCTCATCCTCGCTCTTGTTGTAGAACTTGCGGAAGAAGTTGAAGGCCACCACAGTGTACAGGTAAACCACCACTGCCAGCAGGCCGACCGTCATCACCAACTGGGGACAGGCAGGGGCAGGTCAGCGCCATGCTCGGCTTGCCTCTCCCCCATGCCCAGCCTTCCCCATTCTCACTTAGGTTCAGCCCATGTGCCCCACTCCCCGGGTCCTACTACCCACACCCACCCTGGCTTGGTGGCCTAGCCTTGCCCCTCATTCCTCCACCCCTACACAGACTGCTAAACTGGTCCCTGCCAGGCTCACACGCCTCCGTCAGGTCTCTCCACACCTGTTTCCCATTGTGGGTGACGGAGGAGAGGATGGTGCGCAGTGTCTTGACTCCCATGGCAATATCCAGGAGGTGGGCAGCAAAGAAGAAGTTGTTGTAGTGTCCCAGGAGGGACATCACCATGTACCAGCCCAGGTACAGGAAAGACTGCGGGCACACAGGATCAGGGGTCAGGGAGCATGCAGGGATTCGTGGGGGGCACTCTGGGAAACAGGACACCCAGGGGGCCTGGGGACATTTAAGAGGGTTGGGAGTGTTCTGGGGGTCAGGTGCCATCTCTAGCTGGGGGGGGGGCGCTTGGAGGTTCAGGAGCACTCTGGGTGAGGAGCCATCCTGGGGAAAGTTGGGGATCCCTCTGCAGAAGGATATAGTCTGGAAATTAAACAGCCTCTGGATGACAAGGAGCCTTGGGAATGTCAGAGGTTATCCTAGGATCAGAGGTGCCCAGGGGCTCAGGAGTTGGTCCCTGGCCAGGAATACCTAGGGGTGGAGCCCCCAATGCTACTAGGGCCATTTTCCTGCAGGTCCCTCCCCCGCTACTGCCCCTCCTTACATTGTCTGTAAAGATGACCCCAAACTTCCAGATCTGGTACTTGATGTCAATGGACATGAGCCTATGCAGGGTGGAGAGAAGAGGGATGGCTAGGTGCCTGAGGGTCCGACCCTGGCCACCCCCCTGCATACCCCAGGCCTGCGTGGTGCTATCCCAGGCTCACCAGGTAAGCAGCCCCGGTGGTGGTTCAGGCTTGCGCTCATGGTGGACTGTGATCTCCAGCGAGGCCAGATCCATGCCCAGCAGTTCGGCGATTCGCTCCCGCCCATAGATGTCCCCGTGCTTGTCCAGGACCTGCACAGAAGAATGTGGGGCCATGCAGACACAGTTGGAGTGGGGGAGGGCCTTGGCTGGCATAGGGAGTTCTGGGGACACTCAGAACTTTGTGTGGTAAATTGGGGGTACATTTTTCTAGGGAGAAGGGCCAGAGTTTTCTTTGTATCCTCAGGGGGAGGGTCCAATAGTAATAAAGGCCAGTTGATTCATTAACCAAAGTAATTAGGATAATTTTTTAAAAGATATACAGTATTTTATTTTATTTTAAATATATTTTTATTGATTTCAGAGAGGAAGGGAGAGGGAGAGAGAGATGGAAACATCAATGATGAGAGAGAATTATTGACTGGCTGCCTCCTGCACGCCCCCTACTGGGGATTGAGCCTGCAACCCAGGCATGTGCCCTTGACCAGTATCGAACCCGGGACCTTTCAGTCCACAGGCCGACGCTCTATCCACTGAGCCAAACCAGCCAGGGCTTTTTAAATTAGGATAATTTCTTATTTTTAGGTAGGTAGGTAGGCAGGCAAGGAGTTGTATATAATTAGGCCCCTTATTATCTATAAACTTATCTCCTCAACTCACTCCCTCACTCTGCTGCAGATACCAGCCTCCTCACAGCCCTCAAATGCGCAGGCACACTCCTGCCTCG